AATGAAAAAAATACCTTCTGCTCCATATACGTGTTTTATCCTTTCCACTGGCTGTTTACCGACTTCTTCATATATGGGAATAATACTTAGCTCTTTATTTTTGCATCTTGATCCACTTCTTGCTCCTTCTCACAAATTGTGTTTAAATATTAACTATGAGCATCTCGTCTGAACTAAAAATCTGAACAAAGTACAAGGCGTATGAGAAAGCGAATTGATCAAGCACCTTTGATTATTCAAAATTACGGTAAAGCAAGTCTCAAGGACTTTGATATGGCTTCTTTCATTGTGTACATCAGCTATCTATACCCACAAGTGAGGCATGACTCTTAGTCACATACAGAATCAGATTACCACAATCTCTCCCTCTGCTGGAGATAAAAAAAAATATACAGTACTTGATTTTTATCCTAATGCAATCTTGCCATTTTTGGTGTTTACCGGTCATAGTTAAAATTACATCAGAATTAGAATGACATATAATTCAAATCATAAAAAACAAAACTGAAGTAGAAAAGAAAAATAACAACTGCAAGACATGCAAATATTCGAAAAAGCTTGGTTTTTAATAACTTCCAGTTAGCCCATTTTGCAGTTTTGTGCTGTTTTGGAGAAGTGGTGTCCTCTAGCTTCAGCTTCTCTGTCACCGGGGAGGTGTGGATCAACACGGAGTCCTCTTTACATGATCAGATAGGCCGGTTTGAATCCAGTTGGAGGAGGCAATCCTGTAGGTATCCAGGTGCCAAATCTAGAAGGTCTTTATAGATTAAAGCACATTAAATTGTACCCAGAGCTGACTCGGCAGCCACTGCAGAGGGCGCAACACAGGTATAAGTTCCCAAGGGTAGAATTCACAATAGATTAATGGACCATGGATGGTAAACAGTGGCATATTCTATGTTCCCATCAGCTTCTGAATTAATGGTTACAATCTTTCAAGAAGTTGTAGAAATGTAGGAGATTGAAATAGAATAACGTTTTCTTCAGAAATTTGTAATTTCTATAGTAAATCAGCTAGCCAGGAATTTGCTCCAGTACATATAATATATTTTATACATAATTCATTTTAATCATTGATTTGTTTAATAAAAAAATAAATTTTTGTCCTACCTCTGTCAAGGAAGTAATGGGCAGTGGCAAGACAGCAGAGCTCATTCTTTGCATCAGTTTTCACATAAAAAAGAAATATAGCCTAACCTACTAAATACATAACGGTAAAAGACAGATTAGAAACACAAATTAAAATAAGCAAGAAAATGGTAAGAGAACACTTGTCTAGGTGAGTTCACATCACCAGGACCTGATGGATTACATCCTAGAGTTCTGAATGAGCTAGCAGATGTTATTTTGGAACCACTGAAACATAATTTCAAAGATCCTGGAGCACTGGAAAACTACCTGAATGACTGGAAAAGAGCTTATGCGGTTCTCATCTTCAAAAAAGGGAAAAAACAGATCTAGGAAATTACAAACCAATCAGCCTGACATCAATACCTGGGAGGATCCTGGAAAAGATGATAAAAAAACAGATCTGCAAACACCTAAAAGCAAGTAAAATTATAATCAGAAGCCAACATGGGTTTGTCAAAAACAGATCATTCCAAACAATTCTTATTTCATTCTTTGACAAAGTGACTAAATTAGTGGACCAGCAAAATGCTATAGACATAGTATACTTGGATTTCAGTAATGCATTTGATGAAGTAGACCACAACTTCTTGGTAAGCTAAAAAACTTTGGGGGGGGGACACAGCATCACTACCAGATGGATTTGTAACTGGCTGACAAACCACACTCAATGAGTGGTCCATAATGGTACTACATCTATAAGGAGGGAAGTAAGCAGTGGGGTACCCCAAGGTTCCATCTTAGGCCCAGTACTTTTCAATATATTCATGAACAACTTAAATGAGTGAATAGAAGGGGAAACTCATGAATTTTGCAGATGGCACTAAGCTGACAGGAATAGCCAACACCCCAGATGATAGGCTCAGTATCCAAATGGATCATGACAAACATGAACATTGGGCCCTATGCAATAATATGACATTTAATGTAGAGTAAAGTAAGGTTTTTATAACTGTTATAAGTGGAGGACTCTTTGTATTCTGTATTTTCAGGCCTCTGGCCAATTCATGTAAACACATATTTATATGCACAAACACATGTAGAGGTAGTCCTTGACTTGCAACAGTTTGCTTAGTGCTGTTCGAAGTTAGAACGGCACTGAAAAAAGTGACTTATGACCATTTTTCAAACATACGACTATTGCAGCATCCCCATTGTCGCGTGATTTACATTGAGATGCTTGACAACTAACTCATTTATGACAGTTGCAGTGTCCCGGGGTAATGTGATCATCTTTTGCGACCTTCTGACAAGCAAAGTCAATGGGGAAACCAGATTCACTTAACAACCATGTTACTAGTTTTAACAACTGCAGCGATTCACTTAACAAATGTAGCCCAAAAAGTTGTAAAATGGGGCAAAACTCACTTAACAAATTTCTCACTTAGCAACATAAATTTTGGGCTCAATTGTGGTCATGAGGACTACACATTTGTTATGCATTTGTACACATTTATTATGCAAAATATACAGGATTATTTAGTGAATCTGTTAATCTTGGTTGAAAGATACTGTATATAGTGAAGACAAGAGTGTTGATATTTTTTTGGATCACTATTCTGAGCATAGAGGGAGCATAAAGCTTTTATAGCTGACAACCATTTGTGGTTGCCTTCTTCTTACCAGTACACTATATAGAGAAAGTACATGAGCAATCAAACAGCAAGAATTTCTTTTGTTTCATCTGGGGAATAAACTAGACCTGGAATTTTGTAGGAATCGTATCATCTGATTATTTGTTGATGATGGCTGTTTTTCTTTCAAATTTAAGAAGACATTTTTGTTAGGAGTGAGATGAGGGAATAAAGAGTATAGATTGGGACTTCACATCTGTATTTTTTTTTTGAAGGAAGAAAAAAAACAATCGGTATAGTTGTTAATTAATCAGTACATTTTGTTTGGTTTAGTGGTTAAGGCATCAGGCTAAAAACTGGGAGAACCTGAGATCTAGTACTGTCTTAAGCACAAAGCCAGCGGGTGACTTTGGGCCAGTCACTTTCTCTTAGCCTTAGGAAGGAGGCAATGGCAAACCACTTCTGAAAATCTTGTGAAGAAAACTGCAAGGGTTTATTCAGTCCCTGAGAATCAGACATTATTGAATGGAATAAAAAAAAAGGTATAATAAAATACAAGTACTATTCCTTCCTTGAATCTTTACTATTTTTGTTAGAAGGAATATTTCTCAGTCTGTAATGACATTATTGTCATTTGGAATTGAGGAAAAATCCTCTCACTACTTGTCAGAGCTATGAAGTGAGATATATCTTAGGATATATATATATCAAGAATGTTCCCATCCCTGCTAGTTTTCCAAAGTACAACAGAAAGGTTACAACAGAAATGGGTATAACATTCACCAACAAGTTGCAGTCCAGGAGTTTGGACCCACTCCTTCCTGAGGAAAGCCATATGCTGTCTGGGACTCATCCAAAATATTTGAATAGTTTGGATTGGTTGTCAGCAGGAAAAGTTTTGTGTTTCCCAATGTTCAATTATGGGCTTTTTTTTTTTGAAATCTTGTATCATTTTAACTTAGTGATTTTGATGTACTGTACATCTCTACTTTGGTAGTGCAAATTATTGCATGGAAAGGGAGAATTGTTCACTCTGAAAGGAAAGGACAGCATCAAGGAAGCAGAGGAGTTTCCTCTGGTAATTTGGGGTACCCAAAATTCATGGATCATTTTAGCAATAACAATAGTATTTAGACTTATATACCGCTTCACGGTGCTTTACAGCCCTCTTTAAGTGGTTTACACAGTCAGCATATTGCCCTCCCAACAATCTGGGTCCTCATTTTACCGACCTCAGAAGGATGGAAGGCTGAGTCAACCTTAAGCCAGTGAGAATCGATGAGAATCGAACTGCCAAACTGGTGGCAGTCAGCAGAAGTAGCCTGCAGTACTGCATTCTAACCACTGCACCACCACGGTTCATTTTCCTCAATAAATAAATAAACAAGTATATTTTTGACCCATTTGTTTAATTGGGTTATTTTCATTTAGTTTTAGGACTTACATGGAGAACAGATCATGTTTTACTTATTTGCTTATTTATATATCATATTTATATGATCACCCATCTCACAAAAATGTTTTAGGTCATACTTATGCAGAATACTGATAGTCAAAAGGGTTCACAAACTTTTAAGCACCACTGTATCATAAATAGTGCTGCAGTTCAAATATTGTATCCAATTAAATTATGAGCCTCTGTAAGATTGTATTGCACATGGAAGAAGAAATGGAAACTTAGTGAATCTTCTCAATATTCAGCATATCCATTCACAATATAATTTAAAGGCTCAGTTGTTGTATCTAAACATGTTATCATCAGCATTCCATTCCTGGTATTCCAGAATGCATAAAAAATACTAAAAACTTAATCCACTGACAGCTTGATCTTTACCTCCAAAAGCGAATAAATCCGATGAGAAAAGCTTTATTCTGAATATCATTTATTACTTTACTGGATTATTGTATGTGCATCTTGTCTTTTTATTTCCTGGGCTTTTAAAATATGTGGCTGATTGCAAATGTAGTTATATTGTAGTTATATTTTTAGAATATTTTCTAGAAAAACGTCTTCATATATTATTTGAATCACTTTTTGGTTTTGTTTCCATAGGTTTCTGCACTATAAGTGCCTTATGTAGTCATTGTACAGAAAACTTCGTCGTTCTGATGATCATCTCTCATGGCTAGATATTGGCGTTTACTTTACAAATCATCTATAGCAGCTGCTTCTTGTGAATCTGATTCCAGCATTTAGAAAACGTGAGAAAAAATATTGAACCAAACAAGAGGACTGCTGAATCTGTAGCTTTTCCTATCTAATTAACACCAACAAAGAGGATACTACAGCCTAAAATATATAAAAGAATGCCATTGTATGAAAACAGAGTTTTTTCCCAGTAGCAGGAACACTGGCCAGAAATGCTACTGAGCATGATTTTTTTGCAGACAAAAGTGTACAAATGGCATATATTGGTTGATAACTGCAATGTTCGCTGATAATAGCTGCTTATTCATCTTTGTATGCATTGGATTTTCTTAAACCACGCCTGATTTTATTGAAAGGAACATCTTGACTTTTTGGAGTTTTTAAGCAGAGGCTATTTCATTAACAACTCACAAAATCGAAAGCGGTTTTACATCATGGCTTCAATTGTTGCTCCAGTGAGAGACACAAAATGGCTGACATTAGAAGTGTGCAGGCAGTTTCAGAGAGGGACTTGTTCACGTTCTGATGAAGAATGTAAATTTGCACATCCATCCAAAAGCTGCCAGGTTGAAAGTGGAAGAGTGATTGCCTGCTTTGATTCTCTAAAGGTAAGAATGCATGCATTAGAAGGAGCTATTGTAAACATATCCTTATATTGAACATATCTGGTTCTGATCCCTAGATGGGTTATATCCAGTCAGTTTTCTCAACACTGGTATGGAACTGGTTTGCTATTGCTTTTTTTCTAAGATGTTTCCTAGCTTCCTAGGGTAGGAATTTCTGGTTGCTATCCCATCCCATCGCCAACTGGGCCTGGCTCAGTTTAGCTTCCAAATCTAACTTAAGTTGTAAAGATGAGGCCACTTGCTGAGAATAGTAAGATTTCTACAGCAAATAGATTACTGTTTGTAATTGTTCAGATATTGTTAAGACTAACTCAGTCAATGCATTATTGATTAGGAAACATTGGTCTAGTGGCCAGGTACTAGGAAACCTAAATTCTAGTCCTGCCTTAGGGATGGAAGTCAGCTGGATGACTTTGAACTGGTCCCTTCTTCTCAGCCCTAAGAAGACAGTGGCAAATCACTTCTGAAAATGTTGCCAAGAAGGCCGCATGGACTTTTCCAGTAGTTGTCAGAGATCAAGTCTGACTCAAAGACATATTACCTTGCCTCATATTCATATAACACACATAATATATGGTGTGCTTTATATTGTTTCAGTCTCAACGAACTATTAGGAACTCTCTGTATTCAGCTATTAGATCCCTCTTCAGGCCACAAGAGAACATGTCTCATTGGCTACAATTGAAGTTCCACCAAAATTTATCATTAGATATATTATTGATTTAAGTAAATCTTAGATTCATTCACTGAATGAATGGAACATCTGCCTGTACAATAGAAGTAAAAGTTGTTGGTTCCTAGCACCAGGTATATGTCAGAAGATATGCTCACCCAAAAGTTAGTTATTATTTCATTTCCAATTAATTGAAGCCCTTCCATTTTGCACTTTTAATCTAGATCTACAAATTTACAAATTGTTCCCCGCTTGATAGATGACATTATTTATTATTTGTTGATGACAATAAGGGGAGAAGAGGTATATGCCACCTTCCAGGAAGTAATTCTTTAGAGTAGTGGTTCTCAACATGTGGTCTGTGGATACCTGGGAAGCCACAATGTTACAGGGTGTCTGCAAAGGCTTGAAGAAATGTTATGATTTAAATCTTGAGTTAGGTCTTGAGGGCCATGCCCATGGTCTGTGGTCACAAAAGGTATTTAAAGGGGTTCCGTGGTGAAGTAAAGGTTGAGAACCACTGTGAGATGGAGAGTTGTTTATCTCTTAAAATATAGTTGTGACATAATCAGGTTCCAGACTATAAACATAAATCAAAAACCCTGATTACTGGATATGCAGATTTTACATTCAACCTATTCTAGAATCTACTAGAGTAGCTGGTTTATTTCTATGCAAAGTTGTTACTGGAGCTATTGTTACTGTGTGTTGTATGCACAAAGATTTCTATTTTGTCTTTGAAAAGTTGCTTCTATAGATACTTGTATAAAATCTCCTTCAATTCCAGACCTGGTGACATGTATATAGTTTTTGGCAACAATACAGAAATGGTGTGCCTTTATCTTCTAGGAGATTCAGCAAGTTTTTGCATAAAAATGGATTCCACAAGATTACTAATAAGTTATAGGATGTTCATTATCTGATCATTTGTTATTTCAATATACAATACTTTATAGTCATATGTTCAATATAGAAATAATATCTTTTTTGGGAAAAGAAATATATATATATATTATATTATTTATCCTGCTTATGTTTTTGCCTTAATAACTGTACCTTCTCACATAACTTCAACATCCATCCCTTGTTTATTCAGAATCTTTTGGATTTTGTTTATGGTTGCTACTAATCACACTCTCTACATATTCTTGTATAATTTCTGATTTCATGTTACCAAATAAAATAATTTATATTAAAGATGGTGGGGTTTGTTTCTTGTTTTGATTGCTATCAAGTCAGTTTTGTCTTCTGGTGAATGCTTGGACAAGTCCTGCATTTTTCTTTGCAAGATTTTGGGAAGTGGCTTGGCGTTGCTTTCTTCTTTCTAGGTCTAAGAGAGAGGGGACTGGATGAAAGTCACCCAGCTGGCTTTGTGCCTAAAGCTGAACTAGAATTCCTGGTTTCTAGCATGATTCTTTATCCGCTGCACCAAACTGCTCTCTATATTAAAATCAGTTATATTAAAACATTTCTCTAGTTTTTTTAATCATCTACTAAAATATTTAGACAATTAAAATATTAGACTTTTACATTTTCAAAACACTAAGATAAACACATTTATCTTCAATGTATATGTATCTGTTTTTAGTAAACATGAGTACCCCGCTTTTCATTTAGATTTAAATAATTGTAGTGCAACCTCTTTCTATATCATCAAAAGGGTTTACAAGGATTTAAACCATACAACACTTTTGTAGTATGATTTAGCCCAAAACACATTTAGTCTAATTTTATAACATATATATGTGCACACGGAGACACAAATCAATAACCTCTCATAATCAAAAGAGAACAGTACAATTATTGTCTCTTTGGAAACTTTGTAGTTAGCCAGTTCAAGAGATCTTCTAGTGTACCAAGCTTCTCAGTCCTTTAGAAAACTCTAGCACAAAACAGGACATGAACAGCAATTATCAACTAATACCGAAAGTCCTTGGCTTACAACAGTTCATTTAGTGATCATTCAAAGTTACAACAGCACTGAAAAAAGTGACTTGTGATTGTTTATTGCATCATCTCCATGGTCACCTGATCAAAATTCAGATGCTTGGCAGTGGGTTCATATTTATGACAGTTGCAGTGTCTTTGCAAACTTCTGAGATGCAAACTCAATGGGGAAGCCAGATTCACTTAACAACTGTTGTAACTTAACAACTTCAGTGATTCACTTAACAACTTTTCAAGAAAGGTCGTAAAATGGGGCAAAACTCACTTAACAAATGTCTCACTTAGTAACATAAATTTTGCACTCAATTGTGGTCGTATGCTGAGGACTACCTGTATTTTGCAGGTTGAATATTAATGCACATATATCAAATGTTAGGAATGCAGAAATTGATCTTCCCCCTCTTTATAATTCAATCCTGTTTATTTTATGTTAAATGCACTTGGGATTGCTAGGGCTGTAGCCTAATCTAAGTTAAAAAGAAATGTCCTGGAAAAAGACAATAGAAAACCAATTTGGTATTATTACCAAGAAATTCATTTATATCCATGAAACCACTAGGAACTAAGCTTAATTAGAAATAATTGTACATTACACTAAGATTTTATCACTTATTCAGCAATCGTATTTAGCTCCCTAATCCTGAACCCTGAAATACCTCTTTCAGTTGCGACACATTCTTTAAATGAACAGTCAAGTTTCAGTATTTATATTTAAATCACAATCCAACACTAGGCGCATGCATAAACTTTCTCATACAAAAGTAATAAGGTCATATGCCGCCGTGTTCCTTTCCCTTCTCCACCACAAAGTAAGAGGAAAGGATAAGCAAGAAATTAAATTTTGCTTTAACAGATTCCCAGTTTGTTATAAATGACTGGAAATGTTCAGACCTGTATAATTCCTGCTTTATATGTCACAATAAACCCAGAATTTCCTAATGTGAAAGAGAGTTCTAGCTTATTTTTGTTCATAATGTGGCAGAAAGATACAGACGGACAGAATCTTTATGTGGACCATATTTTGGTAACAGTTCTTGGAAGGAATTTTCTACTACATTTGTCTCTTGGAGAACACTCTTTTTCTAACCTTCTTATATGTTTACCTTGCTCTAACTATGCTGTTTACTTATTCTATTCATATTTTATTTGATAAGGAGTGCTTAATAGGACTTAGTTCCAGGATGAGCGTATAAAATCACATGAAAAGTGTTATATGTCACATATAAGGATGTGTTAACCTGAATTACAGTTATTCTGAAAACATATATTGTTTTGAGCAAGATTATACAATAACTTTTCATTAAGAGTATGTGCCTGTTCTGAAACAGCATATATATTTAAGAAGCCAAGAAACTTAGAAGTGAGTCTTAGACATTACAGAATATGCCAGTTACCTTTATGCAATATTAAAGATTTTAATCTGTACTTTTTGTTGTTGTTGTTGTTAATTGCGAAGTCGTGTCCGACCCATCGCGACCCCATGGACAACGTTCCTCCAGGTCTTCCTGTCCTCTACCATCTTCTGGAGTCCATTTAAGTTCACACCTACTGCTTCAGTGACTCCATCCAGCCACCTCATTCTCTGTCGTCCCCTTCTTCTATTGCCCTCAATCTTTCCCAGCATTAGGCCCTTCTCTGGTGAGTCCTTCCTTCTCATTAGGTGGCCAAAGTATTTGAGTTTCAACTTCAGGATCTGGCCTTCTAAAGAGCAGTCGGGGTTGATCTCTTCTAGGACTGACTGGTTTGAACGCCTTGCAGTCCAAGGGACTCGCAGGAGTCTTCTCCAGCACCATAGTTCAAAGGCCTCAATTCTTTGTCGCTCAGCCTTTCTTATGGT